GAAAAAAACCGGTACACCTTCATTACCCGTCACTTTCCACCAATGCGACTCTCACCGTTGCAGCCCTCTTTGATGCTAACGTTTTTGCTTAACGGCCAGAGTCTGACGCTACCACTACACTTCCGTAGATAGGCGGATTACCTATAGACGACATGCAGAGACGCAAGCAGAGCAGGTACGGTCCTGCTAACCGATGGTGGTGAGAAAGGCGCATCCTCCCGCACCCTTACGGGGTTCCCTCCCTTTCGACTGCTATAATTCCCTTTTTTCGACTTCTAACCTTATCGTGGGATCCTCCTTGAATACTGAGGATAGAAACATGCGGTTTCTGTGCAAGAATGATTTGAGGCCAATATTCATCACAGGTTTTTCGTCTATGTAAATCCGGTAAAATAATTATAAACAAGGGCACGTGAATATAGAGGGGAAATCTTACTGACGATTGCATACGATCCCTCCACACTGTGCTGCAAAAATAACATCGGAGTTTGCCCACGTCGTCACAAAAAATCCAGCGCGGACATGCTTCAAAAGTTTGCTCAGCTGATGCGACGTTCATATCCGGGCCATTGTTTCCTGCTGTTCCACTTCTTCCATTGTGTGTAAAGTGGGCCTTTTTGTCCACGAAAACACCATTTGTTTTCAATTAATCACATTAAATCTCTCGTAATTTAACGGCTATCACCTCTTCGAGAGCACTCATAATAGCTGAGATTTGAAATAAAAAGAAGGGAAAAGCCCTCTACTTTGTCATATTCGATAGAGTGGCAAACAGGTCCCTTATTCACCCTTCTAAATTAGGAACTATAGTACCCACATCACCTTTGATACGTCAGGAGCGCGCAAATTCGAGAAAAAAAGCCCAATACCCGCAACTTGTTCTGCCGTTCCTTGTGAAGGTACCTTGTTTCAGAAAACCAGAAGCGCGTCGAATGCAGACCGCACACCACAAGTGACGACAGCCTCCACAAAATTAGCCTGATGCAGTTGTATTCTATCAGTTGTCACTAATTACAACTCTCATTTACCAACTATCAGCTATCACTATGAATCACTAGTTACCAGATTTACTTGGAGGCCGTCGTCACTTGTGGTGTGTGGTCTGCACTCGACGCGCTTCTTGTTTCCCGATACAGACGGTAGAATAATATATGTTGCTCCTCAACAGAGGTCACGTAAAAGCTGCGAAAACGGCAGAATAAAAAACCGACTTTGCGTGGCGGGTGTGTGACATTACATTCGACTTTTTGCTGTGAAAATTTTTACCATGAACTATTTCTTTCCCAAAATCCCACAAAAAATTTTCCCATAATCTGCGAATCATGCCAACTAAAGGTCTTAAAAAGTAAGATGAACAAGAGTTTAGTGAGCTATCTCTGCTAGAAGGCACAGGTTTCAGGACCGCACTACTGAATCTACCTTCCGATGCCTTTACCTTGCAAAAAACGATAAACATACAAATAACGACCAAAAACTAAATGCAATTATGATTTTACTACCGTATAAGCAGTCCTACCTCATCCAAATTGAGAATCCTCCTGAACTTTGTGCTCCTGGAGAGAATCGTCACCCGTACGTTATCAAGTAGAGGGCCTTTCTGGTGGATACCTAGTCGATGTAGAACATGATGAGCAAACGCATGCATCAGTCCTGTACCGTGACAGTCAGTCTCCTGAATGGCCTACCGTTGAAAAAAAAAACGAGCTTTGAACAGTTTCACAACTGACCAGCGGTGTGTTATAGTAGAGACCAAAAGACTGTCTGGCCAATAATGGAAACATGGCATTTTTGAAGCACACACGACGTCCAGCCAAAGCGGTTAATTCAACAGGCTGCGCATCAGTGAAAACCTTCCAAGTGTCACCGAACCATGAATCAACGAAACCACCGCTGAATGTTCCAATACCATCACTCGACCTGAAAAAAAGGAGTTTAGACGTTGTCGACGTCACTGCTTCCTTCATAACATCGACCTGCTGTATGAAGCGACCGTTTTCTGTGCTGTGAAGCGTAGAGGTTGACAAAACGCAGAGGAGTGTAAACTGTTCCAGCCGAAGCATCAACTCATCAACATCGTGGCCTTTCGCCAAAAAATCCACCACAATGCTCCGTTCTACAGAAAACGCGGCACCGATTGAAGTATATGTCACTTCATCGCCTAAATTGGGTCAAAAATCACAAAAGGTTATAAATGTCTAAAGTTTATGCGCAAGACAACTTCCAAACCACTGGGCGAGGGTGCGCATGGAAGAGCGCCGCCTATGCAACCGCGAGATCGCATCTCAAACCCGAGCATTATACCCAAAACAATCCTTTACCTCCGAAATTGATCTATTGGACACAAGTGTAACCTCCCCTTCAAAAAGCGAGAAAGTGTCGGGTGCAGACCAAACACCACAACTGACGACGGCCTCCAAGTAAATCTGGTTAGAAGTTGTTCATAGTGATAGCTGATTTCTGGTAAATGATAGTTGTAATTAGTGACAATCGATAGAATACAACTGCAACAGGCTAATCATTTCATTGGCAGAAAACATTAACATTTTGTGAAGGCCGTCGTCACTTGTGGTGCATGGTCTGCACCCGACACTTTCTCGCTTTTTGAAAGGGAGGGTAACAACTTTGTCCCATAAAATTAGCTCCTTGTAGAAGCGATATGGTAACAAACATACCAGCTACGCAAGTAGCCTCGTTCGTTCTGATTTTCTTTGAGAACTTCGGCGTCGAATTTCGCACAGTTGCCGCCAACTTCCCCGCGCTGGATCACATCTTGGCGATACCTTGAACTTTTGACTATGTCAAACTCAGAAAAAAATTGTAGTATGAACATAGCTCGTTACCGCTTTGAGTTCTTCGCATCCCAGCTCTTCAAATGGAAAAATATGTTGGTCGCTTGACAATAGCGAAGATCATCCGAGCATCTTAGGCTACTGCCTTCCTGAGATGTAACACAGAGAATACCAAAAGGGGTCCATAACATGAACCAATCATGTAAAAAAATCTCACTAAACATTTTAACCTCTTGTCTAAATACAAGTGCGAGTAAAACCACTGGGTGGGGGAGTGGTGGTGGGGGGG